ATCGTCTTATCCAGAATGCGGATGTAGTTTATCGTCTTACCCAGGACGCAGATGTAGTTTATCGTCATACCCAGGACGAGGATGTAGTTTATCGTCTTACCCAGGACGTGGATGTAGTTTATCGTCTTACACAAGACACCGTTTGCACCGGGATTCTAAGGCTATGCAAATAGATCTACTTAGGTCTTCCGATATATCACCACGGTTGTAGATTTCATTTATTATTTCTGTGGTCTTGTCTATGTCAAAATCGTCCAACACCTCCTATTACAATTCCGTCTGGCCCTGCTGCTTTGTTTCTGTTCAATTTGGCCAATGCGGATTCCACTTCAGATTTTAATAATTCTGCTCAAGGCAGAAAATCCAGCTTCCAGAACAGGATGTCAACATTACCCTAGGTAGACTGTTTTTTTTTTTTTTTTTATTTATTTTTTTTTTTAATTTTTATTTATTTATTTATCTTTTTTTTTTTTGTTTATTTTCGTTAATACAAATGGTGGAATACATTTAAGGCCACATAAGAAGGAAATAGAAATCAATCAAGAAGAAACAAAAATAATGCAAGCTGGGCGAAATTCTATTCAAGTCAAGAAAGAAAGATAGGAAGGAAGGAAGGAAGGGAGGAAGGAAGGAAGGAAGGAAGGAAGGAAGGAAGGAAGAATATATTTAGAAAAAAGTATAAAAGAGAGAAAATATGAACGAAAGAAAGAAAGAAAGAAAGAAAGAAAGAAAGAATGCATGAAAGAAAGATAGAAATAAGAAAATAAAAAAGAAGAAAATGAAAAGAGGGAGAAAAGAAAAAAAGAAAGAAAATCAAAAATGATAAAGAAGAAAAAAGAAAAAGAAAAACAAAAGAAAGAAAGAAAGAAAGAAAGAAAGAAAGAAAGAAAGAAAGAAAGAGTGGGAAGATGTTTAGAAAAAAGCATAAAAAAAGAGTAAAATATGAACGAAAAAAAGAAGAAATAAAGAAAGAAGAAAATAAAAAGAGAGAAAAAAGACAAAGAAAGAAAATCAAAAATGAAAAAGAAGAAAAAAGGCAAATGAAAAAAATTAAAAAGAAAGAAAGAAAGAAAGAAAGAAAGAAAGCATATAGGTAATAAAAAAGCCGGAATAATTAATGTCCAAATTACAGGCTGTTCTGCTAAATATATGATGATTTTGATCAAGGGTAATTCGACATGAAAATGCCCAGAAAAAACACATTGGTAACTTAATCTATTTTAACAAAGTGCCACTGAACGCAGATGTTTGTAGTGAGTCAAAGCAGTCTATAATTTAATTAACAGATGTCTGAAGTCATTATTCTATCAATTAAATCTCTCTCTCTCTCTCTCTCTCTTTGTCTCTCTCTTCCTATATATATGCGTGTGTGTGTATGTGTGTGCGTATGTATGTATGTATTTATATACAGCATTAATATTTTTATAACTATCAAATGAACGAAAATTACCAACAAGATGAAACTAGAATTAAGAATTTTATTAAAAAATGCACAACACCAGTTGACAACAGCAAATAATTAGATTAATTATTTATAAAAAAAAATTTTAAACCGCCAACCTTATAGTTAAAAATAATAACTCACCTCCTAGAACAAAATTAAATAGAATAAATATTATTTATGAATTTAAATGTCCATTAAGGAATTGTATTTCTGATTAATCAAAATTCGTAAATAATTATATAGGCCACACTACAACATGTTTGACACGCAGACTCACTCAACACCTTTCTGGCAATAGATCTCATTTAAATATTCATGGAGACCTACCGGACACTATTCGTAACATACTTGTTGACAACACAAATATAATAGCATCATCTACATGCAAAAAAAAAAAGGCTAAAAATAATGGAAGCCTTATTAATAAAAACAAAAAAACAACACTCAATAATATCAACTATGAACATGGACACCATATCTTGACAATGTTTTAAAAATGAAAACATTATATAAATACATGCAACGATCTATTTCTTGCTAACAATTAAAATATTTCAACTTTGAAAATGGCTAGATGTATAGCCGAAAGCGCTCGGAAAGAAAGAACAATTGGACAGATTTTATATAATTTATCCCCCGAAAAGAAATATATATATATAAGATCACATAAGAAATTGTATAAAAAACTAGATCAAAGCGTCTTGTCTGTCGTATTCAATGAAACGTGCACGAAAGAATGAATGCTGCCTAAATACACACATTGCATTCTTCATGTAACACTAATCTAATGTCATATGGTTAATATCCGGGTTTAATTTTATAAATCTCTTCCCTTTAAGGCTAATACCTTGCACCCTCGCCCTGACCACTGTCCCGTGCAATTCGTCTAACTGAAACATTGAAATTCTGTATTAATTTTTCGACGGCTGTCACAGTTAAATTTCTAATTCCAACATGAACTCAGTCTATAAATCGGGGTTGAATAAGACTGACGAAGTTTTCGCCGGTTGAAATAGATGGATCCGCCATATTAGGTAATTTTGGATTTTGTTGTATAATACTATATATATATATACATATATATATAAATAATATTTATTCAAATTTATAACATTCACGTTATAAGATCACTACAAAAGTTGCATTTTTGTTTCGACACTTTTAATGTCTTATTAAGTGATAATGTTTAATGGAAGAACATAATCACTTGATAAGACACCAGCCGTGTTGAAACAAAAATGCAACCTTTTGTAATGATCTTATAACATGAATATGTTATAAATTTGAATAAATATTCACACACACACACACACACACACACACACACACACATATATATATATATATATATATATATATATATATATATATATATATATATATATCGGTCTCTGACTCTCAGACATTTTCTTTGACAGTTTTTCTTTCAAGAGATTCCTTGAGAGAATTTAATGCAATTGCCTTGTGATGGAATTTCTCTCAAATTTTTCAATCTTTTACATTTAAGTACGCTTTTATCTGTGTGCCTTTCATCCGTTTGAAAGTCTGGGGTTCATGCCTTCCACTAAAGATTTTTACAACTGCATCTGAGTCATTTGTGTAAGTCTTTTAATTAATATATGTCTAGCGTCCTTATTCTGCCACTGATCTCTTTTAGTGGAATGTGTTACCAGAGGTTACTTGGTAATTTGCACGGGCGAATGGATGATTTGTAAATATGCAAAATGGATTCTGACGAGAAAAATGACCCAGCAATGGCCCACTGTGAAATGTCTATTATTTAAATGTTTTTGGAATGTGTATATATAGATATAGATAGATAAATAGATAGAGTAAGGCGATGAAATAAATTCGAGAGATAAAAAAACAACAAATATAATAATATTGATAATAAAACTAATAATATATATTGTATATTAGTAAGCCTTTTAATAATTTCACTCAAAGCAAGTCGAAAATGCCAGTAGTACGCAGGGGCTTACATAGAGTGAAAGGGGCACCTCGACGTGGTGTAATGGTTAGCAAGCTTGGCTCGCTAGAACAATTACGACTGAGTAGTGAGTTCGATCCTCACTGGGTGCCCCATACTTTCGGCCTTGTGCCCCATTTAAGCCGGGCTTAGAAAATAACTACATAAGTGTCTAGGGCACCTCGAGTTGGCGTAATGGTTAGAAAGCTTGTCTCGCTAGAACAATTACGACTGAGTAGTGAGTTCGATCCTCACTGGGTGTCCCATACTTTCGGCATTGTGCCCCATTTAATCCGGGCTTAGAAAATAACTACATAAGTGTCTAGGGCACCTCGAGTTGGCGTAATGGTTAGAAAGCTTGTCTCGCTAGAACAATTACGACTGAGTAGTGAGTTCGATCCTCACTGGGTGTCCCATACTTTCGGCCTGGTGCCACATCTAAGCCGGACTTAGAAAATGACTACATAAGTGTCTAGGGCACCTCGAATTGGCGTAATGGTCAGAAAGATTGTCTAGCTAGAACAATTACGACTGAGTAGTGAGTTCGATCCTCACTGGGTGCCCCTTACTTTCGGCCTGGTGCCACATCTAAGCTACGCTTGGAAAATCATTACATAGAGTGAAAGTGAGAGAAAAACTGAGAATAGAAAGAAAAGAACAAAAGATGCATGGGAACTGCTATTCATCAGGAGGTTCTTAACCATATCCAAAGAATGATCTGTGATGTAATCGATCCTGACGTGACATCTCGACTTCAGTCACTTTCTCACCGACATGGTGTGGCTTCCCTCCGTTCCTAAGCGGAATACTAGATAAGAATCTAGGCCCCGCCAATTCTACACCGACAGTTTTTTTTTTCTTGCACTTCCCGACAGTGTAACTCCCTTCCTGTTACTTCCTTCCCTGATAACTATAATCTTCAAAAATTTAAATGCAACGTAAATCGCCATCTTCCTGTCCATCTTTTGTAATTTTCTGAATCCTCACTATTCTCAATATAACTCTTTCGACTTCACCCCCTGTAAACCCCTGCATACTAGTGGCATTCCCGCCTTGTTATATTCATAGGGAAATCTCTACCATATAAATAGAAGATGATACAGCTGGAGGCTAAACTAATCGTAACCTTGAAGACGAAACTACTAGAGAAATGATAGTGAATACTTTTAATTATAATTTACAACAATGGGTGAAATGATATTAAAAAAAGACGAGGAAGAGGCTTAAATGAAAGCCAGTTGTTGTTTTAACTGGTTTCATTTTTATTCAAAGAGAGGAAAATACGCAAAGCTTATTGATTAAAGAAACTGTTCTCTGAATAAATAGGAAATTTATGACAGATATTTATGAGAGTCATCGAATAGCTAAAGTTTTAACGACCATATCATCATCATAGATTGGCTTCGCCAAACCAAAATCAAGATGGAGTCTATACACGTCGCTTGCAGGCAGGTTTGTGACTGATAAGTCCAATACAGGAAAGGTATACTCGGTCGCAGTATTTGCAGCTAAAATTCTGGCCTGGGGTCGATGCCATAGCATTGCAGTACTTCAATATTGCAGTTTAGATATTTCTTAATAGGTTTGATGGCGTAAGTGTTGTATTCATATGGAAATATCTACCATATAAATAGAAGTTGATACAGTTGGAGGCTAATCGTAATCATGGAGATGAAACTACTAGAGAAATGATAGTGAATACTTTTAATTATAATTTACAACAAGGGGTGAAACGATATAAAAATAGACAAGCAAAAGGCTTAAATGAAGGCAAGCTGTTGTTTTAACTGGTTTCTTTTTTTATTCAAAGAGAGGAAAACACGCAAAGCTTATTGATTAAAGAAACTGTTTACTGAATAAATATGAAATTTATGAGAGACATTTATGAGAGTCATCGAACAATAAAAGTTTTAACGACCGTATCATCATAGATTGTCTTCGCAAAACGAGGACGTCTGTACAGTCTGATAAGTCCAATGCGGGACAGGCATACTCGGTTGCAGTAGTTGCAGCTATAAGTCTGGCCTGGGCTCGATGGCATAGCATGGCATTACTTCCTCCTCTGCTTCTTGTCCCGCTTGAGAGTGGCCCTACGGGTATTTTCAAAGGAGACAGATTGGGGGTGAAACGTCAGACGTCACAGTTCTCAGCTAGGGTTGACCATTGGCAATGGTTAATGTGACAGGCAACAAAGGATTTTTTCAGGTAATCTTTGAATCGCTTCTTTGGTGCCCCTCAGCCACGATAGCCAGTGGAGAGCTCGCCGTACAATAAAACTTTAGGCAGTCGATGAAAGTCTATCCTTGAAACATGTCCAGCACAGCGCAACTGGGACTTCAGCAGCATGCTCTCAATGCTGGAGATCTTCGCCTTTTCAAGAACTTCAATACTGGAGACGAAGTCACTCCAGTGTATGTTAAGGAACGTGCGGAGACAGCGCTGGTGGAACCGTTCGAAAAATCGCAGGTGGCGTCGTTAAGTGACCGGTGACTCTGACCTGTATAGGAGAGTGGCGAGCACGATAGCTCTATACGCCCTGATCTTAGTGCTCTTCTTCAGGAGTCTGTTAGCGAGGACGATAGCTCTATACGCCCTGATCTTAGTGCTCTTCTTCAGGAGTCTGTTAGCGAGGACGATAGCTCTATAAATCTTGATCTTAGTGCTCTTCTTCAGGAGTCTGTTAGCGAGGACGATAGCTCTATACACCCTGATCTTAGTGCTCTTCTTCGGGAGTCTGTTAGCGAGGACGATAGCTCTATACACCCTGATCTTAGTGCTCTTCTTCAGGAGTCTGTTAGCGAGGATGATAGCTCTATACACCCTGATCTTAGTGCTCTTCTTCAGGAGTCTGTTAGCGAGGATGATAGCTCTATACACCCTGATCTTAGTGCTCTTCTTCAGGAGTCTGTTAGCGAGGACGATAGCTCTATACGCCCTGATCTTAGTGCTCTTCTTCAGGAGTCTGTTAGCGAGGACGATAGCTCTATACACCCTGATCTTAGTGCTCTTCTTCAGGAGTCTGTTAGCGAGGACGATAGCTCTATACACCCTGATCTTAGTGCTCTTCTTCAGGAGTCTGTTAGCGAGGACGATAGCTCTATACATCTTGATCTTAGTGCTCTTCTTCAGGAGTCTGTTAGCGGAGGACGATAGCTCTATACACCCTGATCTTAGTGCTCTTCTTCAGGAGTCTGTTAGCGAGGACGATAGCTCTATACACCCCTGATCTTAGTGCTCTTCTTCAGGAGTCTGTTAGCGAGGACGATAGCTCTATACACCCTGATCTTAGTGCTCTTCTTTAGGAGTCTGTTAGCGAGGACGATAGCTCTATACACCCTGATCTTAGTGCTCTTCAGGAGTCTGTTAGCGAGGATGATAGCTCTATACACCCTGATCTTAGTGCTCTTCTTCAGGAGTCTGTTAGCGAGGACGATAGCTCTATACGCCCTGATCTTAGTGCTCTTCTTCAGGAGTCTGTTAGCGAGGACGATAGCTCTATACACCCTGATCTTAGTGCTCTTCTTTAGGAGTCTGTTAGCGAGGACGATAGCTCTATACACCCCTGATCTTAGTGCTCTTCTTCAGGAGTCTGTTAGCGAGGACGATAGCTCTATACACCCTGATCTTAGTGCTCTTCTTCAGGAGTCTGTTAGCGAGGACGATAGCTCTATACACCCTGATCTTAGTGCTCTTCTTCAGGGGTCTGTTTTACCACACAAGTTTGTACAGTCTGCCAAACGCAATGCTCGCTCTTGCCAGTCAGTTGTCAACCTACATGTCGATTCCAGTATTTGATGTAATGGCATATCCAAGGTAGGTAAACTGATGCACTGCATTCAGCTCAGTTGCGCCAATGATGATATGGAGAGGGCGATACTCATCCCGAGGTGCAGGCTAGTAGATTACATCTTCCTTCTTTAAATTGACCAAAAAGCCTGGCCGATTTTTGAGACCAGTTTTCTTTTACGCAGAAAATAGCAGGTCGCACTATACACAGGTAGTTTTTTTGAAGAGGTTTAAAATCCTGCAGTTAATAGTTTCAAGTGTTAATAATTAACTCATAGCTAGAAGAGATAGACTCACGACTTTCCCAGGGGTATTTAATCGTCAAGCGAAAAATTTCGCTTGAAGATGGAACAGAGCTTACTTTAACTCAATTTAATTCAAATAATTATATTGAAGTTTTCGGCTCTTGTTTTGAAACATGAGACCTCTTATATCGCGAGTTGGAATCATATTTTTAAATAAATAAATAAATAATTATATATATATATATATATATATATATATATATATATATATATATGGTATTTGGCAGAAATACCAAAAAGAAAAAAATTATTCAAAGGTACAGAGGGTAGGAAGATGTGGAGGATCGTTATCGCCTATGTCCTGGAAGTACATAGCACATAAAGAAGGTATTGCTTTTTGAACGACGCCTCTTTTGTCTGATATATATATATATATATATATATATATATATATATATATATACATCAGTCGTAATTGTTCTAGCGAGATAAGCTTGTTAACCATTACACCACGTCGGGATACCCTTCGTATCTACTTGAGTTTGGTGCGTGATCAGTTTTTTTACGCGGAAAATAGGGGGTCATACTATACATAGGTAATATTATGAAGATGTTAAATATCATGTATTTGCAGAGACCATTTGCACTATACACAGGTAATTCTTTTTGACGTGGTTAAAATTCATGCATTTTCGGTGACCGTAACCTACCTGGTAGGCCTACATTCGCACAATACGTTTGGCTAACCTCAACGGTAGAGTTCAGCTCGCTTAGTCTGCCTCCTGGAGCCTAGATATGTCTGTTGCTACATGAACAGTAGAACGCCATTCACAATGTAAATTTAAAACAACTAACATAAATGAAAAATTAACAATGTTTTTTCCTTAGCACCAATTTTCACATCGTGAGAAACAACGAAAAGAGTACTGAATTATTACGCGATATCTGTCTTCCTGTATGACAGTGAATGCTGGACAATCTCCTCACATATGAATAAGAGATATGAAGCAAGAGAAACAAAGAAAAGAGTGCTGAGCTGCTATGTAATATCAATCCTCCTATATGGCAGTGAATACTGGACAATTTCCTCACAGATGAAGAGGAGACATGAAGCAAGAGAAACAAAGAAAAGAGTGCTGAACTGCTATGTAATATCAATCCTCCTATATGGCAGTGAATGACGGACAATTTCCTCACAGATGAAGAGGAGACTTGAAACAAGAGAAACAAAGAAAAGAGTGCTGAACTGCTATATAATATCAATCCTCATATATTGCAGTGAATGCTGGACAATTTCCGCACAGATGAAAAGTAGACCCGAAGTAAGAGAAACAAAGAAAGTGTGCCAAACTGCTATGTAATATCAATCTTCTTATATGGCAACGTATACTGGACAATTCTCTTACATATAAACAGGTGACTTTTGAAGCAACAGTAATGATTTTCTGCAGAAGAATGCTAAGGATATCATGGACCGATATTATTTACATTATTCGGACTATTGTCCTCATCTCTGTTGCCATATTAATCCGATCCTTCAGTATCTGCCTATATTACTGAGATGAGGTATTATGTACATTATTTATATTATTCGGAGAATTGTCCTCATCTCTGTTGCCATATTTATCCGATCCTTCAATATCTGTCTATATTTCAGAGATGAGGTGCTATGTCCAGTATTTACATTATTCCGACTATTGTCCTCATCTCTGTTGCCATATTTATCCGATACTTCATTATCTGTCTATATTTATGAGATGGGGTATTATGTACACTATTTACATTATTCGGACTATTGTCCTCGTCTTTGTTGCCATATTAATCCGATCCTTCAATATCTGTCCATATTTATGAGATGCGGTATTATGTACATTATTTACATTATTCGGACTACTGTCCTCATCTTTGTCGCTATATTTATCACAACGTTTCGACCGTTGTATGCTCCGGCCTTCTTCAGGTGGTTGGAATGTCGAATTGAACCCTTTATTTCGCTCATTGTGAGTTCAATACCCGGTTAAGGCAGTGGAGAACTTTCAGAGGGAAAATTAACAGGAGATAACTGATAGCTGACATCTATCAAACATGGCACGTGGAACTAGAACAGTCTACCCCAGTGAGCGAAATAAAGGGTTCAGTTCGACATTCCAACCACCTGAAGAAGGCCGGAGCGTACAACGGCCGAAACGTTGTGATAAATATGGCGACAAAGATGAGGACAGTAGTCCGAATAATGTAAATAATGTACATAATACCAATTTTTGTGGATTTTGATGTCATTCTTGGGCATTTTTTTCGTCCAAATTAGTGAATTTCTTTCATTTTTTTTTTTTTAGCGCTTCACCCTAAGCAAGGCGGGGAGCCATTAGCAAGGGATACAGAGAGTTAGAGCAAGAGCAAATAGGAGTGATAGAGGAAAAGATGAAGAGAAGGATAGGGGATAGATCAAGGCATCTGGAGACGTCGATTGACATTACATTTGAATAGTTGGAGATTATAGCTATCAGGGAAACAGGAAGAGGGAAGAGAGTTCCACAGGCGAGAGGTGCGAGACATGAAGCTATTGGAGTAGAAGAGACGGCTACATTTAACAGTTTCGACAGTGAAAGGGTATAAGCGAGATACTAGCCTAGTAGAACGCTTGAATTCATGAAGTCTGGGAACCAGCGAAAGCAGCTCATCGGAGCAATTACCATGAAACTATTTGTAAAAAAGACAGAGGGAGGCGATGGCACGTCTGTGAGAGAGCGACTGCAGACGAGATGCCAGATCCGGGCCAATTACATTGCATATCCGTCTCTGGATATTATCAAGAACCCCGAGGCAAACAGAAGGGGCTCCAGACCATATATGGCAGCAATACTCCATGCAAGGGCGAATGGTTGATTTGTAGATTTGAAGGATTGACTCTGGAGAGAAAAAAACTTTCCTTGCGGTGGACGAAGCTATTGACTCAATGTATTTGTTCCATATCAGCTTAGCAGAGTTAGTGTGAGGCCGAGTAGTCATATTAAGTCTAGAAAAAAACACTATCTGAAATTTACTATTTTTTTATCCATAATGTTGAATGTGTTAAAATTATTCAACTTTAGAATAAGAAAAATGTTAAAATTTGCCGCAAAACATTGATTTATTTAAGACTTCCATCTTAAATAAATCAGTGTTTTACGGCAATTATGATTTGTCTCTAATTTGTATTTAGATACATTGTATTTATCTTGAATTTTTCTAGTTGAATTGTTCACCTACAAGATGCAAAGGGTAAAGTGTCGTCATTTTAAATTTTTAATTTAGCGCATGCGTGTTGCTTGTTTTAGATTTTGTCGACTGCACAGTATACTAGGGTCAGTTGGGCACCGTCTGTGAGAAAAAGAGCACCATGACGCTGCAATTCCCTCCGCCAGAAATTTGGAAACGGCTTGCTGTACTGTTTGGCATTCGCACCGGAAGATCCAATACGAACATTTCACAGGTTTTGTGTGTTAATCTGAGGATAGTGCAGAAGATTCGGAAAGATTTGGATGAGTCTAACGGTGACTACGAAGGTTTCTGGAGGGAGTGATTGCGTCGTTATACCTCCATTCATTTTCCTACAACCCCTCTGATTCAACCTGTAGGTATACATCACGTGCCTTGAGAAGGCAGTGTTACCCTGGGTTAAGAGGGTGGCTGCTGGAATGTCTGGCAACAAGACTCTGCACCATGCCACACAAGCGTGCAAAAACCCAGTCATAGCTGTCAGACAATTTATACGAACACGTCACACCTTACATCTGACAGCCTAACTCCCCGGACTGCAACCCCCTTGATTATTATGTGTTCGACGCAGTTGATTGAGAGACCAACAAAACAATTTGTAACACCAAAAATGGACTGAAGGAAAGGATTATGGCAGCAACTTAAACAAGGAAACCACCTAGAAGAGATATAAAAGACTGTCCAGATAAGATGCAGGAGATTCTGAAATTGTTTGGTGGCTGTGGTTGAAGCCAAAGGCAATTTTATTGAATAAATTGTGTGAGCCGCAGTTGAACGAGGGAGTAACAAAACTCCTTGGAACACCAAAGATGAACTGAAGGCAAGTATCATGGCAGCATTTACCAACTTGAAGGAGACTGTCGAGAAGAGATGCTGGAGATTCCGAAGTCGTCTGGTGGCCGCGGTTAAAGCCAATGGCGATTTTATTAAATAAATTTACTCTTTAGTATTTCAAGATATTTTGTGCCATTTTGATAATTATATCTTTTAAAAAGTTTATTTCCATTTTTGCGGCATTTACACGACAATTTATGAAATCGCACACTGGATATTGTATATAATCCAATAATGTACATAATGAGGTTACAATAAAATTTGTATTTAATATGAATACAACCTTCGAGATGTGTTGTGGAGTGATTTCACAGTGGAGGCTTGTATTTGTACTAAGTCGGTCCTAAAATAGGTTCGACGTACAAAACGTTAGGAACTTCATATAATAGGTAATGACGCAGAGTAATCTTGTGGTGGTCCCTGATACTTTCATATTCGACTAACTGTCGTCCAGCATTGATTGACTCACCGACTGACTCGTTACTCTTACTACTCCTGCTTATTATAGGTGGGAGAGTCTATTAACTATAGAATAGGTGTGTTCCACTATAACAAGATGTAGTAAAGTGGGTCCCTCCATGATGAAACATCAGTGCCCGTACGATCACCGAAGTTAAGCAACGTACGGCTTGGGAATACCAGGTGCTGTAAGCTTAGGTGTGCAGGTGGTGTAATGGCTAATGGCTCGGAATTGTTAAGTGGAGAGCCGAGTTCCAAATACCATTTTTTTTCTATTTTTTATTTTTCAACATGATCTTTCCACTTCCCTGTGCCTTTAACTTAGCAGGATTTAATAAATCTTTCTAATTAAAATTCACCTAATCCCTCTCTGGCCTGGCTGGCCTTGGGCTGACATGATTAATGATTTCTTCAATTGTTTTCATTTCACCCAATTCGGCTAATTGTATATTCAATTATAGGACGCGTCAAATTTTAGCTGTATCGTGGGGAAGTAGCCGAAATGTGCTTGTGATTACCTGTTGGGTGGGGTGTTTTTGTGCTTATATGTTGTTTATTTTATTTGTCTTATCTCTGACATGGGGTATTAAGGTTACTTGCATTATTTACTTATTCGGACTTATCCCCATCTTCATTGCCATATTCACAACGTTTCGGCCTCTATATCTCTGAGATGAGGTATTATGATTACTTGCATTATTTAAATTATTCGGACTTACCCTCATCTTCATTGCCATATTCACAACGTTTCGGCCTCTATATCTCTGAGATGAGTAATTAGGATTACTTGCATTATTTACATTATTCGAACTGTTATCCCAATCTTCATTGACATATTCCCAAAGTTTCGGCCACTATATCTCTGAGATGAGGTATTATGATTACTTGCATTATTTACATTACTCGGACTGTTATCCCAATCTTTATTGCCATATTCCCAACGTTTCCACCTCTATATCTCTGAGATGAGATATTATGATTACTTGCATTATTTACATTATTCGGACTGTTATCCTCATCTTCATTGCCATATTCACAACGTTTCGGCCACTATATCTCTGAGATGGGGTATTATGATTACTTACATTATTCGAACTGTTATCCCTATCTTCATTTACGTATTCACAACGTTTCGACCTCTATCTCTCTGAGATGATGTATTATGATTACTTGCATTATTTACATTATTCGGACTTATCCTCATCTTCATTGCCATATTCACAAAGTTCCGATATGTGATATGAGAAAAAAACACTATCTGTTTATATCTCTGAGATGAGTTATTACGATTATTTATATTATTTACATTATTCGGGCTGTTATTGCCATCTTCATTGCCATATTCACAACGTTTCGGCCGTTGTACGCTCCAGCCTTCTTCAGGTGATTGGAATTTAGAACCAAACCCTTTATTTCGTCCACTGCGGTAGATTATTCTAGTTCCACGTGCCATGACTCTTCCGGATGTCTCAGTTATTTCCCTCCTACTCAACTCTGCAAGTATTTTTTGGTTCATCACTACTGTGGCCTGGAATTGAACTGACAACTCTTTGGGTCCACTCACTGGATCTAACCAACGTCTTTATCCGCTGACCCCATGTGTCCTTGTTTTTTTTTGGGGGGGGGTTAATAGGACAAAAAACTTTACGGACAGATTCTACCCTATCTTAGCCCTCCTAGGTATTTACCCATTGACGTTGCTTAACTTTGGCGATCGTATGAGAACCGGTGCTTCAACGTAATATGGCCGTAATCCCTTTATGCCAAGCGCACATCCAAGCTTACATTACCTGGTATTCTCAAGTGGACACCCATCTAGCTGCTGACCACGCTCGACGTTGCTTAACTTTGGCGATCGTATGAGAACCGGTGCTTCAACGTGATATGGCCGTAATCCCTTTATGCCAAGCGCACATCAAGCTTACATTACCTGGTATTCTCAAGTGGACACCCATCTAGCTGCTGACCACGCTCGACGTTGCTTAACTTTGGCGATCGTATGAGAACCGGTGCTTCAACGTGATATGGCCGTAACTTGGCATTTAGGAGAAGACATAAATTTATTTTATCAAACTGTTCTTTTTTGTTTTTGTTAAACTAGGCCTTTCTTCTTCTATATATCGTGACTCTTCAGAAAGTGGGTGATCATGGCCATCCACACCTTCTCATTTTTTATAGATATTAGCAACGTTTGTCTTTTTGGCAGGCCTCCCACCTCCCGTTCTTCTAATCCTTTACACTGCTGCCTTCTTCTGTTTCTTTTTCCTTTCGATGTGTCCTCTGAGTGTCAGATTCCCCAAGCCTTCTTTCCTCTTTGCATCTAAGAAATTTCAGCTATCTTTTTTCATTCTGACTGGGAGTATAAGTTACCTTTTTTTATTTCATTTTCCTTAAGATTTCGTTGCTTCCGCGCTCTGTCTATTCTCATCATCCTTCTGTAGAGCCAAATTTCTGTTGCATCAGTTCTTCTCTTCATCTGTGTGGCGATTGTCCAGCATTCACTGCCAATGAGCGAAATTAAATCCAGCACTTTTTTTCTTTGTTTCTAACTAAATTTTCCTGTTTCTTAATACTTTGCTTAGCTTCTGGGGTGCAATTGTGTTATCTCGAATCATGTTCGAATTTTGGTGTCGCATTTTACATTCGCTGAGATGTACGAAATCCATACTGTTTGTCGCTTACGGCATTATGCATTTTTTGCATCGTGTAACAGCAAAATTGTCCAAATCGTGTAACAGCAAAATCGTCCAAATCGTGTAACAGCAAAATTGTCCAAATCGTGTAGCAGCAAAATTGTCCAAATCGAATAACAGCAAAATTGTCCAAATCGTGTAGCAGCAAAATTGTCCAAATCGTGTAACAGCAAAATCGTCCAAATCGTATAGCAGCAAAATTGTCCAAATCGTGTAGCAGCAAAATTGTCAAAATCGTGTAACAGCATGGTGATTAATATCCATCCCACAAAACGTTTAATATCTAAAAAAAAAAAAAAAAAAGAAAAAAAAACACTAAACTAATTAAATTTCTTTTTTTCCAGATTTTCAGATAAGACGTTTTGTCTTCTTGACACCATTTCTCGCAAAAATCGCTGAAAACCCTTTTCAGTTATTCAGCTAGAAATAGAACAGGTTAAAATCGTTTTGTGTCAGCAAAATTCTCGAAATCATTCTAACAAAATGGGCAACTTGTCTATCCCATCAACACTAGACTAATTGTGTTTCTTTTTCCCAGATTTACAGATAAGACGTTTAGCCATATTGACACCATTTCTCACCGAAAAACCCTTTGATTTATTCAGCTAAAAAGAGGCCAAGCTAAAAGCGTTTTGTGCCAAAGCCACTGTCTTTCCAGCTGAGCAATGGTGAGAGGAAAAAGATCATTCAGACCTTCAGTAATGGTACCAATATTCATGCTCTGGCTTCCATTTTCAAAGTCCATTGAAGAACGATCAAGAGAAAGGTGAATAAGTTTAAAAAAGAGGGTACAGTAGAGAGGAAAACTGGATCAGGAGGTCGCAGCACGAAGTGGGGGTCATCACATGAGAAAATGTATAAAAACTAAAGCACCTTATCTGTCGTATTCAATGAAACGTGCATCTCTCTCTCCCTCTCTCTCTCTCTCTCTCTCTCTCTCTCTCTCTATATATATATATATATATATATATATATATAGATAGATAGATAGATAGATAGATATACATATAAGATATATATATATAAAATATATAGATATATAGATATAAGATATATATATATATATAAGAGATATAAAATATATATATATATATATATATAGATAGATAGATATATAGATAGATAGATATATATATATAAGAAAATATAATATAATATGAGCTACCCTCGGTGAAAAACTGGCGTTGATTTATGAGTACTGTGCAACATTTAGAATTGTTTATATTCTGATTTTATTTATCGCTCGACCCACTGAAGGGTCAGGACCCACAGTTTGAAAAACCCTGCCTTAGGATATTATTTCTAGTGACATAATCAACTACTTTCTTGCTGAAAACAGACAAAGCGTTTGCTAATGCCATTAAGGTGGCTGATGGGGTCTATACTGCAATGGAGGTGAACATCGAGAAAGTAGCCGCCTCAAAACTCCAAGCCACAGAGCCAGCACCGGCAAGACGCTTATGTAATAAAGTTACGTAAGCTGTTAAATTCCCCGATGGAGCTTATTGTATTGTAGATAATGCCCGCGCTTAAATGGGACAGAGGTAAACAACAGTTTACGTTAATTATATTGTTAATTGATTTGGCTTACTCTTAGACGAATTAAATTTGTTGTTCTGATTCAAATGTTTAATCAGACGAAACTCAAGTGACATTTTATTGCATCGCTGAAAAGTGCGAGGCACTTCACAGCAGATACATAAATCAACGTCAGTGTTTTATCGACCGGGATTACATTTATCTCGAGTAGCGTTTTTCAAACTTGTTTTTTTCTTTTTTTTTTACTTTGACTCACGGCAAGATCGACATTTAGCAATGCGTCCCATTATACTTACTTATAAATCAAAGACAAACTCTGTTCGCTAGATTCATCTATTTAGCATCGACATTTTATAGGTATATATCTCATGATGTGCACATTGTGAATTAGATGTATTTATTTGTAAGAATATAAAATTATTACTTTTAGAAAAACAAATTTAAACGAAATTCCGTTACCCAGTCTGCAAAGAGTTTAGCGAACAAGATACATAAACTCAATGAAAACAGAATATATATATATATATATATATAATTATTTATTTAAAAATTATAACATAAATATGTTATAAAATCACTACAAAAATAGCCATTTTGTTTCAACACCTCAATACAAAATGGCTATTTTTGTAGTGATTTTATTTATATTTATGCTATAATTTTTAAATAAATAATTATATTCGCTCTACTACGTATTGAGCACTCTTTTAAGAATAGTAATTATTGGTTATTGGAATTTATTCCGTATACACCAATCATATACTTAGGTATATATACATATATATATATATATATATATATATATATATATATATATATATATATTCTCAAAAAATGTGTGTGTGTGTGTGTGTGTGTGTGTGTGTGTGTGTGTGTGTGTGTGTGTGTGTGATCGGATGTTGTTTATGCGTTTTCACAGATTTCATCCGATTTCGATTAATATTTTTTGTTTGATAGATAATTTTTCAGTGCCGATTTTGAGTCGAAATTGTTTGGGGCAACGGCCCTCCACTACTTCCTGTCCATTATAACTCTCAACAACGTTTTACTATTTACTATCTGTTCTTGGATATACATCTTTCATAAAAACTTTAATAAAAATAAAGTTTAAATTATTACAATAAATATTATCTATATATAATTCTCAAGATGTTTGTGTGTCTGTGTCTTGTGTGTGTGTGTGTGTGTGTGTGTGTGTGTGTGTGTGTGTGTGTGTGTGATCGGATGTTGCTTATGCGTTTCCACAGTTTTCATCCGAACGTTTCAGCGCGCGAGGCTGAAAATGATGATCAAAAGACTCGGCGGCTGAGGAGAAACGCCTCTTCACATGCTGCTGCGCGTGAGGCTGAAACAAGATTGAGAACGCAAAAAAACGGCCCTTTTCAGCCCTCCCCCCTTTTCAAATTGTTTACCCCCCCAATTCGGAGATGTGCCTCAGTTGCACCCAATTGTTGTTACTAATATTGATTTTCGAGTGGGCTGACTTTAAACTTAAACTACTCCAACTGAATGGCAAAAATTCCGAGTAAGGAAAGACCTGATCGAAGACGGGTTATACTGCTAGTATATATATATATATATATATATATATATATATATATCTGAGAGGATAAAATCCAGCTAGAGCTCAGTGTACAAGATAGAGCAAAAATATAATATGAAAGGCTCAAACACTAATATTTCATAGTTATAATTTACTACATTGGAATCGTAATCTCGAATTAATTCATCAGACCTACAAATTCTTTTTGAATTTTAAATTTTAAATTTTACCAATCACTCGATGAATGTTATGATCCTTGTTTTTAAAAACATTTTAAAATTTGGTAAAATTTTGTGAGCGAAGAGATTTCACCAATTTCTATCATTAACTTTACTAATGCACTTTTTGTATGAATGATTCATTGTAATATATATCAGGTCATCCCATAAGTTCTGTCCGAATTTTGAATAAAGAAAACAAGTGATCAAATGTTACATTTAATTACAGATTCAATCAACAATGTATTTTCCCTGATTATCTATGACTTCCTTCCATCTATTAACAAGCTTACTAATTCCATTACTGTAACATTCTTTTGGCTTTGATTCGAAGAACTCACAAATGTCAGTTTTAACCTCTTCATGTGTTACAAAAGCTGTTTCTTCCAAACAATTCTGTAAGCTACGAAATAAATGGTAGTCTGAAGGAGCAAGATCGGGAGAATAAGGTTGATAAGGAATTTTCTTCCAACCAAGTTCTTCAATCTTTTGTGACGTGATTCTTGCTGTGTGGGGTCGTGCATTGTCCTGATGAAGCATCACCCTTTTTCGATTCACTAGAGCAGGTCTTTTTTCCTCAAAGCTTGGTTCAAACGCTCTAATTGCTGACAGTATATTTGAGCATTAATTGTTGCATTAGGTGGTAAGAATTCAAAGTGGATTATGCCTTGGCGATCCCACCAAATTGAAAAAAGAACCTTTTGCCCATGAAGTTCCCTTCTCGGCTGTAGCTAGGGTCCTTCCCCTTTATCAAGCCACTATCTATGACGCTTAACACTTCGATAAAAGATCCATTTTTCGTCGCCAGTCACAAGTCTATCCAAAAAAGGTGAAACAAGTTGGCGAGAATGGAGAGAAGAGCAGATGTCAACTCGGGATTTGAGGTTGTTTTCAGACAATTCATGAGGTACCCATTTTCCAAGTTTAGGAACTTTTCCAAGTTGTTGAAGATGACGATGAACAGTTATATGGTTTGAACTGAGAACCACTGCCAATTCCTCAACTGATAAAGCAGGATTTTCTTCAAGGGCTGCTTCAAGAAGCTTTTCATCAAACTCAACTGGACGTCCGGTTCAATCTTCATCTTCAAGGGTGAAATCTCCACCTCTGAATTTTGCAAACCATCTTCTGCAAGTTCTTTCATTCACACATTCCTCTCTATAAACTGAGTGAATGTTTCTAGCTGCTTCGGCTGCTGAGTTTCCTTTCTAGAACTAATAAAGCATTATGTGCCTCAAATGATTCTTGGGTACTTCCATGTTAGCAGGGTTTGTATCAAACAAAATTTAATTTTATTTTTCTCTGAAATAAAATTTGATCAGTTTAAATGCATCTAAACATAAAAATAATGTTCAACTCCATTAAGACATTATAAAATACTCTGTAAATTTCGTTCATTTTAACAAAATGTTAAAATTCGGTCGGAACTTATGGGATCACCTGATACCTTGCGATGATTTATGCATGGTGTGCAACATTTAGAGTTGTTTCTGCACTTTGCTCTAACTTGTGTATTTTTTCTTTTTCTTTTTTTTGTTGCGACCCATTTTATTTACCTCGTGACCCACTGTAGGGTCAGGACCCACAGTTTGAAAATCCTTGATCTAGAACATTTTCTCAGTTGATGTAAAGATGTGTAGTATTGCTGACCGATTCTGTTATTTGAATGATATGAAAACGCGGGAAAAAAATGAAAATATTGGAAAGTGGTGTTGACGAAATAACCAGGTAATATTAAAGAACTGAGAAACTTCATAACACCTACTCTTGGAATCTAGAGCTTGAATCAAGCTGATTTTGTGGAGAAATAAATAAAATAAAATATCAGTCAATTCCCAAGAAGTCAATCATTTTTATCCGTATGAATACCACCTTTCAACAATTCATTTTTTTAAGTTGATGCAAAAGTTTCCAGCATATTTTGATAAAAACTTTATAGCATCTTTCTTGAGCCATCAAAATATTCCCCGGGCTTTTTATTACCCTACGCCATCTTTCGGCTATTCTATCTCAAAAAGTTGATACAAAGTTTTGTTCATATAAATTCATAGCATCATTATTCAGTCATTAAAATATTTCTAGGTGTTTCTATGACTCTGCGCCAGCTTCAAACAAATCTTTTACAAAAGGTTGATGAAAAAATTTCAAGTATTTCCGACAAAATATTTTATTCCTATAAATTCAAAGTATCATTAAACAGTCAACAAAACATTTTCCCGGTCTTTTTTATGACTCTACGCCATATTGGAACAATTGTTTTACAAAATGTTGATGCAAAAGTGACCAGCATTTTTCACAATATATTTTATTCAAATAAATTCAAAGCATCATTATTCAGTCATTAAAATGTTTTCTTTTCTTTCTTGAAACATTTTCCTTTCTTTCTTTTTCCTTTCTTTCTTTCTTTCTTTACTTCTTTCTTTGTAATATTTTCCTTTCTTTCTTTGTAATATTCTCCTTTATTTATTTCTTTACTTCTTTCTTTCTTTGTAATATTTTCCTTTCTTTTTTGAAACATTTCCTTTCTTTCTTTTTTATTCATTCTTTCTTTGTAATATTTTCCTTTCATTCTTTCTTTCTTTCTTTCCTCCTTTGTAATATTTTCATTTCTTTCTTTCTTTTTTCTTTCTTTCTTTCCTTCTTTCTTTCTTTGAAATATTTTCCTTTCTTTCTTTCTTTCTTTCTTTCTTTCTTTGAAATATTTTCTTTCCTCTTTCTTTCTTTCTTTCTTTATTTTCCTTTCTTTCTTTCTTTCCTTTTTCTTTCTTTCTTTCTTTTCTTTCTTTGAAATATTTTCCTTTCCTTTCTTTCTTTCTTTCTTTGTTTTCTTGAAATATTTTCCTTTCTTTTCTTTGTTTCCTTTTTTTATTCTTTCTTTCTTTGCAATATTTTTTTCTTTCTTTCTTTTTTTTTCAAATTTTTTATTCTTTCTTTTTTTAATTTTTCCTTTCTTTCTTTCTTTGAAACATTTTCCTTTCTTTCCTTTTTTTTTCCTTTCTTTCTTAAAACTTTTTCCTTTCCTTTCTTTTATTTTTCTTTTAATACTTTTTCCTTTCTTTTTTTTGCAATATTTTCCTTTCTTTCTTTGCAATATTTTCATTTCTTTCTTTCCTTCTTTCTTTCTTTGTAATATTTTCCTTTCTTTCTTTCTTTCTTTCCTTCTTTCTTTCTTTGTAATATTTTTTCCTTCTTTTTTTTGTAATATTTTCCTTTCTTTCTTTCTTTGTAATATTTTTCTTTCTTCCTTTCTTTCTTTCTTTCTTTGTAAAACTTTCCTTTCTTTCTTTCTTTCTTTCCTTCTTTCCTCCTTTGTAATATTTTTCTTTCTTTCTTTCTTTCTTTCTTTCTTTGCAATATTTTCATTTCTTTTTTCCTTTCTTTTATTGTAATATTTTCCTTTCTTTTCTTTGTAGAATTTCCCTTTCTTTCTTTTTTAATATTTTCCATTTTTTCTTTCTTTCATTTTTCTTTTTTCTGTTTAATTTTTTCTTCGCTCATTTTATTCCTTTCGCTCATCTTTCTTTCATTCTTTGCATTTTGCTTTTTTTCCCTTTCTTTCCCTTTTTAATTCTTTTTAATATTTTCTTCTTCTGATTTCTTCTTTTGATTTCCTTCACTTACCTTTCTTTAAATCTTTTTTCAATATTCCCCCACTCATCCTTTTCTTTTTTCTTTATCTTTCCCTGATTTTTCTTTCTTTCGTTCTTTTTCTTTCAAAAATATTTTCTTGTCCTTTCTTTCATTCATCTTTCTTTCTTTTTTTGTGATTTTTATTTCTTTTCTTTCTTTCTTTTTTTTTCTTTCATTCTTGCTTTCGTCCTTTCTTTCTTTCTTTTCTTTTGTCTTAATATCTTATTCCCTCATCTTTCTTTCTTTTTTTTAATTTCTTTTTGTTTCACTCTTTCATTCATTCATTCGCTCTTTCTTTCTCCTTTCTTAATATTTCATTCACTCATTGTTCTTTCTTGTTTATTTTTTTCTATTTCTTTCTTTTTTCTTTCACTCTTTCTTATATTCTTTATTTCTGTTCTTCTGTCTTTCTTAACATTTCCTTCACTTATTCTTTTTTCTTTTTTAACACTTTTTTTTCATCCTTTCTTTCTTTCCTTTCTTCTTTCATATTATTTAATTTTCTCATCTTTTTTCTTTCTTTTTCGCTTTCTTTCTTTTCTTTTTTCTTTTTAATATTTTCTTTTTCTTCCATTCTTTCTTTGGTTTCCTTTACTCATCTTTGCTTTCTTTCCTTCATTCTTTCTTTCCTTCCTTCCTTCCTCCTTATTTATTTTTAATATTTTCCTGTTCTTTCTTTCTTTCTTTCTTTCTTTCTTTCTTTCTTTCTTCTATTTAATATTTTCTTCAAACATCTTTATTCCACAATATTTCCCAACTGTTTTTCTTCTCTTTCGTTTTTTTAATATTTCCGTTCATTCTTAATATTGACATTTTCTTTCTTGCTTTCTTTTTTTCTTTCTTTCTTTTTTCTTTCTTTCTTAATATTGCTACTTTTCTTTTTTCTTAATATCGCCACTTTCCTTCTTTCTTTCTTTCTTTCTTAATATCGCAACGTTCCCTCTTTCTTTCTTAATATCGCCACTTTCCCTCTTTCTTTTTTAATATCGCCATTTTCTTTCTTTCTTAATATCGCCACATTCTTTCTTTCTTAATATCGCCGCATTCTTTCTTTCTTATTATCGCCACTTTCTTTCTTTCTTTCTTTCTTTCTTTCTTAATATTGCTCATTTCTTTTTTCATTTTTGATATTGTCCCTTACTGTTTTTTGGTTTCTTTCTATCTTTCTCTCCTAATATTGCCTCTTTTTTATTTTTTCTTTCTTAATATTGCCTCTTTCTTTCTTTCTTTCTTTCTTTCTTTCTTTCTTTCTTTCTTAATACTATCCCATTATTCATTTGAATGTTGACATGATTTCAATTTTTCCTCAAATTTGAAAACACGTGTTTACAATCTTACTGATCTATCTCTCTATCTATCTATCTATCTATCTATCTATCTATCTATCTATCTATCCGAAGATCTGTCCGAAAAGTAATGGGACAGGGTGTGCTGTGTAAGCCATGAGCGAAAGTGAGATAAGTGGATTGTGTTATCATCTGACAAGATCTCTTGGGACTATTATAACTGTAATCTTAGTTTTCTGGAACCATTGCAGTTTTTCACATGCTTTTGTGGCAGGACAAATTCACCTGCTCACAACGTCCTTAGCACCCGGCTTGATCAACTGTCTGAACAAGGCCAGTACGATGAAATCCTCCGTCACGATGACTTGTGACTTCGTGCAAAGAAACAGTTCCGTTTACTAAATTTCACTCAAATGTCTTGGGTCAACCCGTCGGATGGTCTTTAAAGGCATTTTCCAATATTGACACTTTCTTTCTTTCTTTCTTTCTTTCTTTATTTATTTATTTATTTATTTATTTCTCTCTTAATATTGCCACTTTGTTTGTTTGTTTGTTTGTTTGTTTGTTTCTTTCTTTCTTTCTTAATATTCCCCGCCTTCATTTTTTTTTCTCCTTCTCCTTTAATATTGCCTTTCTTTTATTCTTGAGTCAACCCTTTGGATGGTCTTTAAAGGCACTTTACAATAGTGACACTTTGTTTGTTTGTTTCTTTATTTCTTAATATTGGCACTTTCTTTCTTTCTTTCTTTATATCAGTATTTTCTTTCTTTCTTTCTTTATATCGCCGCTTTCTTTCTTTCTTTCTTTCTTCCTTTCTTTATATCGCCGCTTTCTTTCTTTCTTTCTTTATATCGCTGCTTTGTTTGTTTGTTTCTTTCTTTCTTTATGTCGCCGCTTTCTTTTTTTCTTTCTTTCTATCGCCGCTTTCTTTCTTTCTTTCTTTCTTTCTTTCTTTCTTAATATCCCCCCTTTTCATTTTTTCTCCTTTAATATTGCCTTTCTTTTATTCTTGAGTCAACCCGTGGGATGGTCTTTAAAGGCACTTTCCAATATTGACACTTTGTTTGTTTGTTTCTTTATTTCTTTCTTTCTTTCTTTCTTTCTTTCTTAATATTCCCACCTTTCATTTTTTTTTCTCCTTTAATATTGCCTTTCTTTTATTCTTGAGTCAACCCGTGGGATGGTCTTTAAAGGCACTTTCTATAGTTGCCAAATGCTGGGACCACCTCCCCAGGCAGATAACATCCTGGTGAATCGACCATGATGAAATTATATATATATATATATATATATATATATATATATATATATATATATATATATATATATATATATATGAAATGCGTATATATCGGCAGCATATTTTCATCTTGATAGGATCCTTTCGTATTCACGAATAAGCTTTTTCTGCGGTTATTGAATTAATAGTTTTCCTTTATCTAGCACGTAATTTTCGACAGCATACCTAGTTGCCTTCCCTTAAACAGTGTCCGTCACCCAAGCCATGACACAGGGTTCCTGACCCCACATATAAAAATAGTATTTTCGGATGACCTCAACAATTTTTGTCCTTCACAACCATGAACATTAAATACTTACTCTATAACAATAACCTGATGATGACATTATTTCATGTCGAAAGTACTCTGAAATAAATACAATATGAGCCAACACGATGTATTCCTCTCGTCTTTTACTAACCACACAAAAAGCTTACCCGCGAATATGAAAGAATGCTATCGATAATAAGTAGACAGAACATATCTAAATTATTTTACGAAACTTGTCTTTTTATATATATATATATATATATATATATATATATATATATATATATATATATATATATATATATACGAAATGTCCCATCAAGGTCGCAGAAGCACATGTACTGCAGCTGCAGTAGAAGTGATGTTTCTTGGGCTGATTTTGAATTCAAAGTTTCCTTCTTCTAGAGGCTATAGAACCCAGTCTGTCCTGCTATTAACCCATATATGGGGGAGAGAAGAAGAGGATTCATATCTTTCCCGTAAGATGTAATGGATCCGACTGGAATTCGAATCCCTCAATTTAAGACGCTATCCACTACTCCACCAAGTCTCCATATATATATATATATATATATATATATATATAATCATTTATTCAAAAATTATAAAAAATTATAAAAATGTTATAAAATGTGACATTCAACACCATCACTTTATAAGACACCAGAAGTGTTGAAACAAAATGGCTATTTTTGTAGTGATTTTATAACATAAATATGTTATAATTTTCGATTAAATAATTATATTTGCTCTACTCTGTATTGAGCACTCTTTTAAGAATAGTATTTGTTGGTTATTGGAAATTATTCCGTATACACCAATCCTATTCTTGAATATATATATATATATGTGTGTGTGTGTGTGTGTGTGTGTGTGTGTACACATACATACACACACACACACATATATATATATATGTGTGTGTGTGTTTCGTCAGACAAGACATTTATATTCAATATCAGAAATATGTAGTTGAAATTGCTTGGCTACATAATGAGGACGGTTGGCTTGGAAAATTTCACACACAAGGACATAACGAAGGCAAAAATGGAGTTTAAGTGGCATAGGGCCATCTTACCTAACAAGTTTGTGTGTATGGATGCTGGAACGGGATTGGGTGAGTTGACAAGAAGACAAACGTTACATAGAAGTTGTGGGGAGCAGTGATCGTCCTCATTCACTAGGAACGCGTTACATAAGGAGAGAGTGTTCACAGTGGGTGAGGCTTTTATGACTGAGATAGGTGATCCTGTAAACGGCAGTAGACATGTAATCAATTTTCGATTTTTTTTTTATTCCCGATTGTACTAAAATTTAACTTT